AGGATCTCCCCCTTAGGAGAATAAATAATAACCAACGGGTTAACGGGGTCAGCCAAAATCTCCGTCCTCTGTTCACCCCAAGTCCCAAATCGAGGCCTCTCCAAACTGCTTGCCAAGGGCGTCCCAGCTCGAGGAGGACTCCAGCCACCCGCCAATTCAAGGGTGGTGATCGATACCCCATCCATTGCCTCACCGCCATAAAGCTAGGCTGCGTCAGCATCAGACTCCTGTCCGGAAGAATCTATCCCCACGGCCCGAGGATCAATCGATCCCAAACACTCTCCGGGGAATGCCGAGTAGCTGCTTTCTCCCTCACCTTCAGCACAAGGATTTCCCATCGCCCTAGAGGTCGGAACCAATGGGTCGACCTTGGAGCTCTCCACCTTGATCCTCTTGGGCTCCGGTGGCTCAGCCGACAGGCTTTCCTGCCTTTTCTTCTCCTCTTCAAGCATCAGAGTGTCCCCTCTAACAGACGGTACCTCCCTCGTTGGTGGGATTCCTCCCAGACATGCATAGATGCAGAGGTTAAATGCACGGGACGAAGAAAGCTACTAACAGCAAGCTACGTCAAAATGCACGGATGCGTCAAAGCTCAAGGCACACCATAGTCTTTAGCTTCCCACCGAGCTCGGGATAAATCCCGCCACGCTTGATCGATATACGAGCAGATTGAGTACAAATGACCGACCCAACCCTAGAGATCCGACACCGTGCCAGGATAGATTGCTATGGCTGAAAAGACAAAAAGAAGCATAGTTAGACGCATGAGGAGAAATCACCAAGAAGGGGCAAATGCACCATGTTTACTTACGCCCAGCGTTCCACTTCTCAGGGAACGACATCTTTTCCACTGGGATTAGGTCTGACGTCCTCACTCGAACAAATCGGCTTAACCACCCATCATCCCCGAACTCCTCAGTGGAGGCAAAAAGGGACCTCGGGGCTCGACAATGAAGTTTGATTAAGCCCCCGTAAAGGAGACGAGGACTATGCATCCGGATCAAATGGTTCAGGGTGAAAGGCATTCCCTCTATCATGATCGAATAATGCCTGATCATATAAACCACACGCCAGAACGAATGATGAACTTAACCAGGAATTACCTGGTAACTTCGGTAGAAGTCGAGAATCACAGGGTCAATCGAGGGCGATAATGGACCCATCGGCCCCAAAGTTAATGGGTAGGTGTACACATTCAAAAAACCGGCCCTATAAGCCATAATATCTTCATCCCGAGCGGGAATCTTCACGAGCACGATATTCCCCCAGCAATAGTCGGCCTTCACTCTTTCGACATCCGTTATAGAGCTGATATACCAAGTTACAGGCTCGCGACACCTTGACTTTGAGGAGGGTCTCTCGACCCTAAAATCGAAGGTCATCACAAAGGGTCCCAGGACGCACTCCTCAGCACGGGGGAGGGGAGGGGGGAGAGGAGTGGCCACTTCGCATTGAGAGAAAAACGAAGAAAATGAGCCCGCAACCTCCTAGGAAGTAGAAGCGAAAATATTTGCCATCCTTGAGAAAATCTGAGGGAAGAAGAAAAGGGGTTTGCGTTCCTGAAGAAGAGCGAGAACGAGGGAAAACAGACCTCACTAAGGGTTTTTGAACACGAGGTAGAAACTAGAAATGAAGGGGTGAGTATTTATAAAAGCACCATGGGTACATTGAAGGAAGCCAACCGCCGCAATCAATGCTGAAATCTGCAGGAACGATGCACATAGCACGCCTTGACATCTCGTAACCATTCGCAAGGACACCAGAGGAAGCAAAAGTTCAAAACCGTTTCTTGTTGCCTTCACTCTAAGAAACGCAGAGACTATCTGTATACGGCGAATCTGGGGAGCCTGATTTCCCCATCATAGGGCCATCTCGTGGTCATGCCACTCGAAGTTTGGAGCCAAGGTCGAGACTCATCCTCGGGGTTCGGCAGATATCGGTCCGGAGGGCATCACATTCCGACAAATACAGTGGGCTATAGCAGGCGAGGGGGAGTTCCCAAGGCAAGCGGCTTAACCTGGCAAGGCTGGCCTATCCGAGGCCTATTTTCAAGATGTCACGTCTAGCCATCCTATCTTCTTATCTTTAGAGTTGACACATTTTGTATTGTGACGGATTCCCCTCCTATATAAAGGGGGTCCCCAACACTTTGTAAGCCCCCGACTGATGTTGCTCCAACTATTTATCCACAAGATCAATAATCTCTCTCTCTCTCTTCTTTCTAACTTGCTCTTTCTCACTGGCTCGAGGTCACTTTAATATTTATCGCTTTCTTACTTGTTCTTCATTCTATCGCTTGGTATTGGCCATAAAGAGCCTTGTTTAATCATATCTCAACTGTTATCCATTCTCGACTGCCCCCGATAGCTCGAGCTCGACCCAGACATCGACCAGTCCTACACCCGGGCAGCCGACCTATCGGTTCGATCACTGCCTCGTTTAAGCTTACATTTCATCATTGAACTTCATCTTCTTAGCATCATCTGCTCTAACAACTAACGTAAAAATAGATCACATATTTTTAGAATCCCATTTACAAATTTAATTGTTGTTACCATTTTTACGGTAAACAAATTAACCCAAATAGTCGTCCTTAGAATTAGTCTATACTATATTAAAAGTACAAAGGCCTTTAACAAAATGTTGTTCTCTTTTTTTACCCTTTAAAAATAGGATTCACACTAGATAAAATAGTCAATTAAGCATTTCCTAATATTTAGGACAAGAAAATTAAATTGGTTATTAAATATTTTCTTATTTAAACTAGATATCTAAAATTTAAGACTTTAAAATTGATTAAAAATTTATCTCAACTAAATGTTTAAAAAGTCAATTATTTGATATATGTTAGTACAAAAATTGTAGACGTTCATATTTTACGTAATTACATGACTTCCTAATGGCATTCTAATTTATTCATGACGAAAAATACAATTTTTAACATCAAATAAGAAATTTCTTTTAAGAACTATTTTACTTCATTTAGTATTTACAACAACTTAATTTTAATTATATGGTAAATAATGAGAGATTAAAATTAAAAATTATTTAATATATAGAAACATAACATTTCACTTTTTTTTTGTCTTCTCCGGTTACTTTAAACTATTATAAAAGTATGAAACTTCAATGCAAAATTGATCGACCTTTTTATTATTTAATAATAAATTATACATTGGACAAAATCTTCGTTTACAACAACAACAACAACCACCCAGTAAAATTTCACTAATGGAATTTGGGGAGGGTAGTGTTTACGCAGGCCTTACCCCTACCCCGAAGGAGTAGAGAGGTTGTTTTTGAAAGACACTCAGCAAGAAAATAAAAGGACAAAAGGAGAAAATATTAGTATCACCATAGAAATCATATGTAAAATAGGAACAACATGAAATTTAGAAGGAAGATGCAAAACAAAGCAAAAGAAATAGCTATTAAATAGGCCATGTACTGAAAGACGAGATAGTAAAACACAACATTGCCACTAGCTATTTTAGACAGACCCTACTAGACTAGTCTCACAATGTTACGAAGTAAGGCAAGACTCAACTACTTCCTAACCTACAACCCTAATACTCGACCTCCACAATTTCCTATCAAGTGTCATGTCCTCGAAAATTTGAAGCCTCGTCATATCCTGCCTGATAACCTCTCCCCAATACTTTTTAGGTCACCCTCTACCTCTTCTCGTGCCCTCCACAACCAGCCGCTCACACCTCCTTACTGGTGCATCTGGGCTTCTCCTTTGAATATGCCCAAACCATCTTAGCATGGCTTCCCGCATCTTCTCATCAATGGGGGCCATATGCAAATTCTCCCGAATAACATTATTCCTAATCTTATCCATTCTAGTGTGCCCGCACATCCACCTCAACATCCTCATTTCCAAAAAATCATCGTTTAATTGTTAGTAAGCACTTTTTAATAATTAGGACATTGAAATCAACTAAAATTTTGACTACTAAATCTTTTCTATTTAAACTATATAGGAAATCCTAATATGTAGAAATATATTCACAGTAAGATAAATTATATAATTTGAGTAAGTTAATTTTCGCAAGAATTTATAAATTTTAAAAATTATTATTTCACCTGGAACAATAATAATTCAGGTGGCATTAGAAGTTTTCCACTTTAAAATACCAAGAGACGAAAACTTAAAGCAAATTGTATAGAAGTCATACTTACGGGCTCAAGATTATTTTTATATTGCTAAAATCTTAAGATTTAGGGTTGGTAATATTGAAAATGTTAGCTATTTAAGCTTTTCTTTAAAAGAAACTGTTAATAAAATATTTCCAAAAGTGTTGTCGTAGAGTTTCTTATAGTGTCGATAAATTTATCTAGCGAATAGATATTGCATGTAATCACGAACAAATATCAAATTAAGAATGTGTGGCAAACTGATATTACCAATTACTATCGAATTAAAGGGATTGACAATATATATTAGCAAGTATCTTCTCTAATCATGATAATGAACGAATCTACCTAGAAAGTGGCGTGAGAACCTAAATCTATTCCTAACGAAAGTCCAAATAATAAGGCATTTTGTAGAGAAGGGATCTTCTTTTATTGATTTAGATAAATGCGATTAACGTTCATGAATCTTTTCCCCAGTAATTTAGATATTTTTTTTATAATTCGAACACTTCTATGCATACTATCTATGTAATTTTTATAAATTTATATTTATTGATATGAAATACACGCGCAACACGTGTACTCTAAGACTAGTTAAATTGAAAAAAGCAATATACTATATATATAATTATATATATAATAACTGCATAATCTTTGTATACCTATTTAAAAAAAATAGTGAATCCGGCCAGTTATTTCTGCAGAGATTCCAAAATGAGAATGTACTACATTAGGGAAACCTCAATGGGCTTGAAGTGAGAAGCCCGCTCTAGGAAACAGCAAACCCAGTAGCTGTTGAGGCCCAGACACTGAACTATAAATGGCAGAGAGAGAATATGCTCACTTCCTCTCTTCGATCGAATCGGATCTAGGGTTCTTGCTAAATTCTGTGCCTTCTTCGACCTTCAGGTAAGCAAATTGCGCTTTTCAATCTATTTTTTCACAGACGTTCATATAAAACATTTACTTACAAATGGGCAGACGAAATGCGTGTGCGTAATTCATTTAGGAATTGCTTTTTTAATCGACAAATTTGTTGAAGAGGTGGGTTTCTTGTTTCTAGATTCGTTTGATGTTTTAATTGAGCTTCCATTTGTGTTAATTCATTTGAAAGTAATGGAGCTAATTATACTGGTAAGNTATAAAACATTCACTTATAAATGGACAGACGAAATGCGTATGCGTAATTCATTTAGGAATTGCTTTTTTAATCGACAAATTTGTTGAAGAGGTGTTTTTCTTGTTTTTAGCTTTGTTTGATGTTTTAATTGAGTTGCCATTTGTGTCAATTCATTTGAAAGTAATGGAGCTAATTATACTGATAAGTAAAAAAGTAATGGAGCTGATTAGATTGTTTTGTTGCAGAGAAGATGCCGCGGTATGATGATAGGTATGGTGGTACACGCCTCTATGTTGGACATTTGTCTTCCAGAACGCGATCTCGAGACTTGGAGGACGTCTTCAGCAGATACGGGAGGTAAATTTTTAACCATTCGTAAGTTTTGCTTAATGATTGAACACATGTGATCGTAAATTAATTTTGAGTAGTTGTAAATGAAGGTTCCAATAGGACCAAGACTAACTTTTTAGTGGTTTATTTAGTAGTGGAATGAAATGGGCCTGAATAGAGTAGAATGGATATTAAGGATTCTATAGCTGACCCAAGCTTGTTCAGAATTGAGATATAGTTGATTAGTTGAGTGATGTGCATATTGATTATCTTATTGTGATCACTTTTAAGATATGATGTTGCTTTTTTAGTAGTTCAGAGATCTCCGTTCTAGGAAGTAAGGTGGTCTTTTTGTTGGGGTTTGGGAGGGGGGGGGGCAGTGTTGTCAAAGGCGTGCGCACTTAAGCCTGAAGCAAGTCACAAAATATGTTGAGCGCTTCGCCTAGCTTAATAGGCGCTTCAATGTCAACATCAAGGCTCTAAGACATACTTTTCCTTGCCAATGAGCGTAATCTTGAAGAGGCGACACTAAACAATTGATATTTCACTTAATTGTAATCTCCATATCTTTGTCCACATATTTGTTATTCATGCTTATAAGTATTAGTCTTGAACTACACATATATGTTTTTTTTTCTCCATTTGTGCCTTGCTTCATTAAAGCCCACGCTTTATTTGCGCTCTGCTTAAAGCCCTAACGGACCTTAGAGTTTTTTTGTGCTTCTTGCCTTTGATAACACTGGGGAGGGGGGGGCACCCAAGTCGTTAAAATGGCTGTTCTTTGTTTTTTGAATTTGTACAAAATGTGTGAGAGCAACATCCCCCGTGTCGTAGTGTTTTTAACTCGAATGATGTTTATGAAGGTTTCTATGTTTTTGCCCATCCTGGAGGTTTGTGGTGGGAGGTTGCCTTGGTGGAATTGGTTCCCATTCTTGCGGAGTGTGGCGATTCTTTGTATAATGTTATTGCGTGTTTTTTTGATGGAAATGGCACAATCCCAAAGTGGTGTTTAGTTCATCTTTGAGGGGCGAAGTAATCAACCCTTCGGTTCTTATGACTTGATGGCCTTACTCTTTCTGGAACCCATTTACGCAGAGTACGTGATGTGGATATGAAGCGTGACTATGCTTTTGTGGTACGCCTTTCTTATTTTTTTTCTTCCCTTTCTGTTAATGATATTTTTTAAGGTTGCACCGGGATTACCTAATCCTTGTCTCATATATTTGAGATATAAGCTTCTGTCTGCTTTTCATCTAAATCTAGGAATTTAGTGATCCTCGAGATGCTGATGATGCAAGATATGGCCTAAATGGGCGAGACGTTGATGGAAGCCGTATTACTGTGGAATTCGCAAAAGGGGTGAGTTTACACAGACTGCATTTGTTATATGTTCCTAAATGTTATATGCTTTAGTTGTAGTATCTTTATGTTGTTGTTTGTACAACACTAGAAATTTACATTCACATGACATTTGCGTTTTGAATATTAATAAAAAAGATACATGAAAACACTCTCAGGCTGTATGGCCAGTGAGTAGGAAAATATCATGGAGCTGGTTTGAACATAATTATTTTTGGGAACATGCTTTTGGAAGATTTGGAGATAATGTTTCAATTCTCAATATAGCTTTTATTTACTTTTGGCATGTCGCCCGGGGGTGGGGGGAGGAGGATCTTGTGTTTATCGCTATCCCTTTAAGTAATTAAGTTGCTTTCAAGGATCTGGTTTTCTTGGTATTTTTCAAGATATGCCTTGATCATGTGATTTCATTATTTTTCTGCCTTGATCTATCTGTTGTTTTCAGATTGTTTAAAACAAGATGTCCTTTTTATAAAATTTATTTGCATTGCAGGTACCTCGTGGTCCAGGTGGATCTCGAGAGTTTGGCGGCAGAGGTCCTCCTCCAGGTACAGGTCGTTGCTTTAATTGTGGACTTGATGGCCATTGGGCTCGAGATTGTAAGGCTGGGGACTGGAAGAACAAGTGTTACCGCTGTGGGGAGCGAGGTCATATAGAAAGAAACTGTCAGAATAGCCCCAAGAAATTGAAGTATTTTCCTAGTTGCCATCTTCTTATTTCACGCTGTGTATTCTTTGATGCTCTAGTTTGCTTTAATGGTTAAGTTTTTTATTTGTTCTTTAATAAACAGACGTGGACGAAGTTATTCCCGCTCACCGTCTCCTCGTCGTGGCAGAAGTCGCAGCCACAGTTACAGCAGAGGTCGTAGCTACAGGTCTCTCGATTTGCTCTTCCTCCTTTTGGAATGTGCCCCGTTTCACTTCGTTGATGGCTTTGGCCTTATGTTTTGAGATACTGAATTGGCATTGTCACTCATGGTTGAAATAATACCATCAGATAAGTAATTGCATTTGTCATTTCATGATGTATCATGTGGATAATATGTGAAAGCTTGAGTTGCTAAACCAAGAAAGTGTTACTGTTGTGGCCCCAAGGGCCTAGCTCAAGTGGCAAAGGGTGGTGGATTTGTGTCTTAGGTCATAGATTCGAGCCCCCACACCATGCAAAGCAAAGCCTGGTATTTAAGTGGAGAAGTGTAGAGGGGCGGGCCCATTATCCACCGAGTTTCGAAGGCTGCGGTTGGTCCAAAGGATCGGCCCTAGACGGATTTCTCGGTCATTAAAAAAAAAAAGTGTTGTGCCGTCACTACTAACACATTCTGGTTATCTCATCTGCCTTTTATGATATTAAAACATATTTTTTACCATAACCTTATCTAAATAAATAAATAAAGTATTAACAGATGGTGTGTTTGATTTCTTTGCAGCCGATCCAGGTCTCCTGTGAGGAGGGACTCCAGGTCTCCTGTGAAGAGCGACTCCAGGTCTCCTGTGAAGAGGGACCGTAGCATTGAGCATGAAGAAAGAAGATCAAGAAGTCCTCGCCCTCATAGATCATCACCACCTCCATCAAAAGGAAGGAAATACAGCCCTTCACCTGATGAAAGAAGTCCACAAGAGAGAGGTACGCCGTCCCCTAGGGGTGATAGGGCAGCCAATGGTTCTGATCATAGCAGGAGCCCTACAGACGATGCTGGAATAGACGAACGCAGAAATTTGAGTCCTATTGAAGAAAATGGCCGCAGTCGCAGCAATAGCCCCATCCATAGGGACAATGGAAGCCCAGTGGAGAATGGGAGCCCAATGGGTGATGATGAAAATCATGCTTCTCCAAGGGGCAGCGAGTCACCTTAAAAAGGTGCATATGATACAGTCAGCTTGGCAAGTGTGTTTTAATCACAAGTAATTATTGTCCTTGCCCTTTAATTTTTAAAGTATTTCTCCTTCTATTTGGAAACATGTAATTGAATTATTTGGAATGACCTGAATTTGAAACTGTCTTGCACATGGTGTGTTCGAGACCGCTTTAAGCTGTGGCTTGTTATATTCAGCTTGAATTTGGTTAGAAGTGTGGGACACTATTTGGAAGTGGTTTAACTATGACTGTAAAGTTCCTTGTTGGCCAAGTGTTGTTATATCACTTCCTGAATATTGTACCAGAGCATTCACCAATTGTAAAGTTGAAATACAGCAATTGGTGCAAATTTGAGATTCATCTGGCAAATCGATTGGAAATATGATGAGAGACTCGCATGAATACATTCTGCTATTTGTGTTGTCTGTCTCGGTTTCTTGTGATCTGTTGTTGGAAGTGGCAGATAGCATGCTCATGACCGTCTGTTAACAAAATGTTAACCATTCCATGGAGTAGTAAATTTGTTTTAATTACTATATAGACATCGTGTGAATATCGAAAAGCTCTGAGAGCAGTTCTATGCATTAAGAAGTTGGTGTATTATTGTCCATTATTTCTGGTTATGGACGGTCCAATTGGTAACATATAATTGTGAAGCATAAGCCTTGAATATAATGCTCTTTGTAGTTGCAGAAGAAGCTTGTTGTAGGGCAAGTGTTAGCTACCCTTGCCACTACACTAAAAGCTTCACTTATATTAAAGAGATTTACAACTGTTAATTACTAAAAATAGTTTGTATCCTAATTGCAGAGTATAATTCTTCAATGGAATTGATTCGTTCGAACTCCCCATATAGAGGCTGGTTTGTTAAGATTGCCATGAGAATCCATGTATATTTAAAACAAGTTAACCTCATCCATTTCTTGCCCTGTATGCCATTACAAGTATAAGTAATAAGAATGGACCTTGAGTCTAAGTTAATCCCAAAAGCTAGCTCAAAGGGTAAGGATTGCCCCAGCATCCATTTCTCAACTTCGGGGGCCTGGCTTTGATACCATGATGAGATGGAGCTGGGGCCTAATTCAACTCTTGGAGCGTGAGCAATTTACCGTAGGAGCTTAACTTTGGGGGGCCTGGCTTTGATATAGCTTGGGCCTAACTCAACTCTAAAGGCTTGAGCTAAGGATTGCCAAAGCCATATAACTAATCACTGAGGGAAACACTAGTACTGAACCAAGAGAAGGCAAACCTTAGAGTTGGTTCTTTTTTGTAATTATTAGTTCTTTGATTATGTACCAGAGAATTTTTGGATGCTGCTGCTTTGAATATGGTAATTGTTAAGGCAAAACAGAAGCTTTTCTGCGGAGCATTATCTTCGTATAATCATCTTCGAAGCAAAATTTGCGTCCAGTCAAGGTGAGGTCTTGCAATGGCTAAATCTGAAAATTCTCTTTGTTCATCTTATCCTTTTGTTCTGAGGTTATATTACACAAGGGCGCATCCAGCCCTTCGGTACCGGTTCAGCTGAACCCAGTATTTTTGTCAACAACAACAACAACAACAACAACTACCCAGTAAAATCCCATATAGTGGGGTATGGGGAAGGTAATGTGTACGCAGACCTTACCCCTGCCCCGGTAGGACAGAGAGGCTGTTTCCGATAGACCCTCGGCTCAGAACGACGGAAATAAAGAAAAACAAGGAAAATAAGAAAAGAAAAGAGAATTCATTAGTAACTCCAGTAAAAACCATTATAGTAACAGAAACTTAAAAATCAAAAGATGAATGACTTGCAATAACAGTAACCAGAGTCTAAGGAATCTAAGATAAACAACAAGAATAGTGTGAGTTCAACATAAACTGCAAACTATCTAAGATCAACCCCAATCCAA